TCTGTGTGCAAGCAAAACTCACAAAACAAAACTAAAGGGTATAGTACATGTTCCCATTGCCAGTGGTTAATCAGTCTTCTAAAACATTCTCTGTCATCCTCTCTTCAGGCATTTCACTGTCTTTCTTTCTCTTTTCATTCATAACTTCATTCTCTGTTGCTCATTTTTTCAATCATCCATTCTCTTCCTCTATTTTCTTCACTCTCTTTCTCAGTCTTTCTACCATTCATTCTTTATGCTTTTTCTCTGTACCCTATCTTTCATTTTACCCTCATTCATATATTCATCCAATTGCATTTTCCCACTTCCTCTCTATCAAACCAAACCATAGGCATCATTAACTTCCTTGTTTAGTGCTGGATCATCTTAATTTTATGGCTGATACATTGATACTCTAAAGTTATACTGTGATGCCTCAGTCTCTTCTGTTGCATCTTTGTAGTTTCTCATAAAACCGTTTATCTTCAAAGTTAAGCAGATCTAAGGAAATATCATTTGGTTTCACATCAGGCACAGCTGCAGCATTAGGCAGTTGCCTGCTGTGACATTATTATGGTTTCCCACATTTTTCTGGGATTCACATTTGGTACAGTGGCTTGGCACACTTCAAGGGCAACTTCTGTCAGAACATATTATCAGAGTTGAATTAATTTATTGATGAATATTTTTAGATTATACTAAAGACTAGATATTGGCAAAATGAAAATAGGTCTGGGTGCCTCCTCAGTTTACAGTTTTGTGATGGTTGAGCCAGTGTTCATAGGGATGGTATGTATGTATGTACATATATGCCATGTCTGTTCTGAGTTAAGTTTATTAACCCTTTGCCGATGGGGATGACATGTGCGTCATGTGTGTGATTTAGTAATGTCTTTGCATATAGATGGCTCCACAAGTACTAAGTCACCAATGAGCCAGTTATGAGAACAACCTGTCTCACCTATTTACCCTTTTCCTTGATTTTCAATAATATTTTCTAGTATTTAATACTGCTGTTAGCAATGTCAATAACAATATAGTAATTATAGTGTTTATAACAAAAATAATGGTGTCGATATTAATACCATCAGTAAAAAAAGGTGTTTTCCTGCTATTTCAAGGAAAGCTGAGATCATAAGATCTACTAATTGACTCCTTAGTGGCTAAGCACTGGCAGTGTCATCTATGTCTAGAAACATTCAACAAAACAATACTAAAGTTAATGCAACATTTTCCAATGAGCATTGGGTTAATTATATTTACACATAAATGGCTCCACAAGTTCTTTGTCACCTAGGAGTTGATCACTAGTCCTACCTATCTCACCTGTTTACTTTCCCTTGATTTTTGGAAATACTTATTTTTATTTAATAATGCTGTCAGTAATATTGTTCATAACAATATAAAAATCATAATGCCAGTATCAAAAATAAATTTGGCTGTAATAGCATTAGAATCTTTTCCCTTGAAAACTCAAAGAGGAAGCAAGTCAGGGTGAGGCCGCACAGACCACTTATGGACTCCTTCATGGCTGACTTGTGAAGCCATATGTGTGAAACGCATTGTGAACGCCAAAACAAAACTACTATAAACATTATAAGTTCCTTGAGGCATTGGATTAACGTTTCAAAATGAGAGACAAAAAAAGCGAGCGAACTTTAAAACAAGACATAGGAGTACCATCTTCATATAATAACCAAATAATTTTCAGGGACTGCATCGGATAGTGAAGAGGAAAAAAATTGTCATTCAACAGTGGCCAATGGTCGAATAGGTGCAAGAAGCCATGAACCATCCCCTGTTTCTGCTGCGGAAGCTTTCTCACCCACCATTGAGGTTTCAATAGTGGTATATATTCTTCTTTCTTTCTTTTTTGTTGTTATTGCTGTCATGATGATGAATACTATTATTGTAATTATTAACATTATTATTATTGTTATTGTTATTGATGTTGCTCTTTTTGTTGTTCATGTTATCATTACTATTATCATTATCATTATTATTATCATCATCATCATCATCATCATATATCATCATATCATATCATATCATCATCATCATATTAATATTCATTATTATATATATATTATTATTGTTATTATTATTATTATTGTTATTGTTATTGTTATTGTTATTTATTGTTATGTTATTGTTATTGTTATTGTATTTATTATATTATTTTTATTATTATTATTATTATTATTATTATTATTATTATTATTATTATTATTATTATTATTATTATTATTATTATTATTATTATTATTATTATTAATATCATTATTAATATTATTATTAATATGATTATTATTATTATCATTATTATTATTATCATTATTATATTATTATTATTATTATCATTATATTATTATTGTTATTTATTATTATTGTTGTTATTATTATTATGACTATCGTCATTGCTGCCAGTGTCATTGTCATTATTGTTGTTTGTTGTTTGTTGTTGTTGTTGTTGTTGTTGTTATTATTGTTATTTATATTATTATTATTATTATTATTATTA